ATTATTTCTTAGGAGACTTTTAAGTGAGTAAAAGTAACACAAAGGATTGTTTACACGAGGTACGTACATGTCTATTTCGTTGTAAGTAGTATCATGTTTAGGTACCAAAGAAAACAACTTAGTTTCATGATTAGAGAACACTTGGATGAAAATTGTTTGGTTATACATTTAATTAATTCATGTGCTTATGTTTATGAGACATGTTTTGGTGAATTGATTATGTTTGTATGGAATTATGGATACAAACATGTTGAATTATATTGGATTAATTGTTTGTATGGAATGTTGATACAAGCATAATTTTATTGGCTTGGTTTGTTAACCATATTTAGATTATTAAAGGATTGGAATTGAATGGTTTAAGTGGAACGAATTTATTAATTATTCCACAAGGTTGTTATTTATTTTATTTATTAATCAAGCATGACTTGTTAGTATGTTGAGTAAAAGTGGATTAAGCCGAAATGGCTAGGTGGGTTGACTATGTTCAACAATTTGGATAATTTGGAAGTTTAATGAAATTAAAGGTAAATTTGTGATGTGATCACCATTGTCCTAAATAAGATTAAAAGTAAATTTATGTATGATTTTTATGTACGGTCTATTTGATTGGGTCGGCTATTAATTAAAATTGTAATCACGTAAAGTGAAACATGAATGAGCAATAAAACTCTAGAAAGCGTGCACTACTAGAGTATTGACAATTATGGGTTGAGGTACACGGTGGTAGCCCGTGGATTTTCGAGGCTTGTTTGATCAACATGTCCTCTTTTCTTTTGGTATTTACATATATATTTTATAATGAAAGTTAGATTGGATCCTAGACTAACTTTGTGAGAATGGAGTCGCGCCCATTCTTGCATTGCGCTAAATTTTTATTTTAAATGGTCATTTGGGACCAAAATGATTTGGTGGATTAGACAACCTCGTATATTGCTTACTCTAAACTAAATTAATTATATTAAATATAAAAGTCGAGTGTTTAGAATTGGTTAGAAAGTATGTTGAGTCAATTGAATTGTTTAAGTGTGGAGTCTTGATTAATGAATTCATGTTGTATGTTTATTTACTTCAATTAGTTGAGCATGTCAGGTTTTGTGAGTTGTAGCTTGTATGTACTCAGCTTTGCTGATTGCGTGCTTTTGTGTGTTTTCCTTTGGTTATGGCCTTCGCCTTTTAATGACCCTGTGATGATCCAATTATTACACTTGTATTATTGGGGAGCAGTATTGCACAGGTTAGCTTGATGATGTGAAGTTCGGGGATTTGACATACGCATTGTCAAGGGATTGGTGTGATTGAGAGTATTCGTTCTTTGTGTTGAACTTATTTATGTTTTACTATTTTAATTATGTTTTGGGATTTTGAAGGTTTTAATAAGGGCCTTCATGGTTCCAATTTGTAAGCTTTAACTTATTAATTTTCTAAATTATATTATTTAAAGATAAAGGTTGGATTTCCGCTGCAATACTTTGATAAAGCCTTAACGTTTTAACACATGGCGGTGACATGCCAATGGTTCTCCTCTATTTTTATTTAAAATAAGTGGTTTGGAAATGGGAGAATTATAGGGTGTTACAAAATGGTATCAGAGCCTAAGCGCTCGTGGGATTTACGCAGGGATCTTCATATCCCTACGTTGTTTGGTTTAGGAATGAACTTGTTAATTAACAATTAGGATTAAAATTGACATAGGTTAAGTCGTTCTAAGTGTATTTCTCTATTTATGTTTGCTATGTGCTTTGTTTTATGTGACTGGGCTTGAGTTCGGGGACGAACTCCTTTTTTTTTAGGGGGATATTATGTAATACCCCTAATATTTCAATACTCTATCTATATATTTTAAAGAACAATTTGGTTTAGTTTTACAAAGTGGTACAAAATGGTATCCAGAGCCTAAACGCTCGTGGGGTTTACGCAAGGATCCTCATATCCTAGCGTGTTTTGGTTTAGGAATGAACCTGTTAATTAAGAGTAGGATTAAAATAAACATATAGGCTAAGCCGTTTCAAGAGTGTTTCTCTCCACATGCTTGTGTTTGTTATGTGTTTTTTTATGTGACTAGCTTTGAGTTCGAGGACGAACTCCTTTTTAAGGGGGATAGTAAATTTGTATGTAATACCCCTTATACTTTAATACTCTATATTTATATTTTATAAAGAAATTTTCGATTCATTGGTTTTTGGTCTCTCTTAAATTTGCAAGTAAGTTATTTTTCTACTTTAAATTTCAGGACGAAACTTGTTTTAAGGAGGGTAGATTGTAATACCCTAAAATTTTCTACTTGAAGTTTCGGGACGAAACTTGTTGTAAGGAGGGTAGATTGTAATACCCTAAAATTTTCTAATTTAAGTTTCGGGTCGAAACTTGTTTTAAGGAGGGTAGATTGTAATACCCTAAAATTTTCTATTTTAAGTTTCGGGGACGAAATTTGTTTTAAGGAGCGTAGATTGTAATACCCGTGAATTTTATATCTTATAAAGTATAAATATCAGATATTATTTCGTATCTTTTATTTTATATCCAAATACTATTATTTGATAGAGGTTTAAAACACTATTTTAATTGAAATAGGATTCTATATTTTTAAGGGTATATATAATAAACTATTATAACCTTATTAAATTGTGGATGCAAAAGTATTTGGGCAGCCGTGTGTTTGGTTTTTATTGTTATTCTTATTGATTTGTTCTTTGCGGTTGTGGGTGAAAGTCCATCCATTCATGCTTAGCTTCATTCAATTTATGCACATAACATCATCATTATCTATGATGATCAAATATGTTTGTAAATCATTGCCAAGAAATAATATTTGGCATGAGTCGGATACTTTGACGCAACAAGATCAACAATCCTTTCATACTTTTGTAGCCGAAGGTAATCACACGTTATCAATTTGGAGATGTTTGATTGTATTATTTATTATGTGTAATTACACGGATTTACTTTGGAATTGTTTGTATAATTATTGCTTTATATTATTGTATGATTTGAAATTTATATGCTTGAGTTTATAGCTATGATTGATGTATATAATTTTATGATATGATCTGATTTAATTGTCTTGTTATTATTGTTGTATTGATTGACTGTTCTATTTTTTTCTGAGATTTTTAATGTTATTGTTATAGGGAGTATTGTTTTATCGAGGTTTTAGGGTTGTTAATGCAGAGTATTATTTTTGGGTTGAGATTTGATTATATTTGGGTTATTAGTGTTTTTTTTTGTAAGATCTGAGATATTATGAATCGAATTGTCATGTAATTTGAGAACTCGTGCCATTATTGAGATACTGTTTATTATCAAGTTTATGATTATTTGATCGATGTATGAGATCAAAAAGGTTGAGATTATTATTTTGTTATTGGTTTGAGGCTCGGTGTTATAGACGTTAGTCCTTGGCTTGTTGATAATGAAATAATGATCATGAGTTAAGAATGAGGTACAATCTTTATTATTTGTTTTTCTATGGTCCCCTACAGTGGGAATTGGCCCGTATGTGGTCTGGTTCAAGGTGTTTTTCTTGTTATTGGGAGTATTCAAGTTTTTATACTTGTTGGTTTTATTCGAAGTACCCATGTCCTAGGCTAGGTATAAAACAAAGAGCATGGCACATTTATGGGACAAATGAGTTAATTGACTAAAGGTTTGTATAATTATTCGAGGTTGAGTTGACAAAGGTTATCTTTTTTTCAGAGTACAATGTGTAATGTTGTTTCGAACTACATTGTTTAACTAAGCTAGTATTGTCTATTATTCAATTATACTCTATATTCTGATTTGTGGTGATTACTCAGGTTTTGCTAACGTATGTGTTTGTTTGTTTTGTTGTGCTATTTGTGTTTGCGGCCATGTCTTTTTCTTATGGTGGCCTTGCGATGATCTATTTTGGAATTTGTCCTTAATGGTAAGCAGTCAAGGTTGTCTAAACAGGTTGATCAGATGGTTGTAGCTAAAGGAGCTCAAGTGTTTCGATTATTGTGATGTCACAAGTTTGTAAATTTGTATAAATATCTCCCTTAGTTTATTGGGTTGTAATTATTGGGATTTTGTAAGCATAAACACTTGACAGGTTGTCGAGTGTGGCAGTAATACCTCCGATTTAGGAGTATGCTTCCGCAATTTTAGTTAAAGGTTGTTTATTTTTCCTTTAATTCTTGTTTATTATTAATTAGTAAATCGGGGGTGTTACAAAGTGGTATCTGGAAGCTTAGGTTAGATTTAATTATCACTAAAGCCAATTTTAAAGTTTATAGGCGCCTAACGTTTTAAATCTAATGAGTTTCGTTTTATCTCCTTATTTAAAGTTTAATCTATTTTTTTTTATTATTTGATTCGGCATTTATAAAAAAAAATTGTTTATTTTAACTAATTTTTGAATTATTTATTTATTTTGAAATAAAATTAACTAATTAATTTATTTTATTTTCCTAACTTCCTTGCTTGTTTCATTTTATCGATGAGACTTGGGTAGCTTTAGAAAGGGCGTATAGGATAAATTATTTCTTTCTATATGCATTGTAATTAATTCTTTTGTCTTTTTATTATTGTATGAAGTTATTATGCAAGTTATTTAATTGTGTATGTTTTATTTAATGTTGCAAACTTGAGTGATCACCTAGTATCATGTTTAAGGTTTAAAGCACGTAATGGAACTATATGTGATGATTTGTGCTATATGATATGTGTAAATTAACTTTACGTGAAGCATGTAATTATGTGATTATTATAATGTGTTTATTTAATTATATTATTTACTTAATGTTTGGATTTTGTAAGGGATATAATCAAGGGAATTATTTTATTTAATTTTCGTGTGCGTAAGAATGATTAAAATTAAATAATCATTTCCTTTGAAAGTGATTTATTAGGGACGATTGTGTGGCCTTGACTACCTTTCTACCTTAATATATTTTCAGAATGTGACGTGTTGTGTAAGTAGAGTTTTTTGTGTCAATGTCAGCCTAAGAGTGTGTTACACTTCCAGGGAGAGAAGGAGGATGGCTAACAATGATGTTCTAGCTGATGCTATTAGGCTACTAGCTGAGAACATGGACCAAAATCGCAATGATAATCCCGATCCTGCTGGTGAGATGTTTAAGAAGCTTGCCCAAGTCAAACCACCATACTTTGAGGGAGGTATAGACCCAACTTTTCTGGAGAATTGGATTAGGGAGTTCGATAAGATCTTTACTGCTTTGAATTGTCTTGTGAATATGAGAGTGGATCAAGCTGCCATGTATTTGAAGGAAGAGGTAGATATTTGGTGGAGGGATAATGGAAACGTGATTCGTGCTGAGGCTAATTTTTCTTGGGAGACTTTCAAAACCAAACTTAGGGAGAAGTTCTATCCACCATTCTTAAGGAAACAAAAGGCTCAAGAGTTTATCAATCTGCAAATGAACAATATGTCGATTATTGAGTACTATAACAAGTTTATGAACTTGTCAAGGTTTGTTCCTGAAGTAGTGCCTACTGAGGAGTTGAAAGCTCAAAGGTTTGAGCAAGGTTTGACTAAGCAGTTACAAAAAGACTTGGCTGGAAAGACTTGTAAGACTCTTGATAAGGTGTATGGGAGAGCATCGCACTTGTACGGTCTGAATGTCAGGAGTGCACCTGAGAGTGGAAGTATCGAAGAAAAGCGTAAGGATTTTGGAGATTCAAGTGACCAAGGTAACTCCAAGAAGCCAAGGAACGAGAATTTCTAGAATAGGAATGTTCAGAATAATGGAGGGTCATCTAGAACTAATGGCAAAGCTGAGAGACATTACAACTGCAAGAGATGTGGCAAGGATCATCCTGGAAAAGATTTTGATGGGAACTTGGTTGTGTGTAGGTTCTGTAACAAGAAAGGCCACAGGGAGTTTGAGTGGTTCTCCAAAATGAAGCAACAAGGGAATGGGAACAAGTTTACTCCAACAAGCAATCAAAGAGAGAATTCTAATGGTTATAATGGGAATGGAAAGAACGAAAATGTTGGCAACAACAACTCCGATCCGGGAATCAAGGAAAGAATATCACTACAGGTCGTTTGTCTGTGATGAACAAGAAGGAAGTTGAAAGGTCATGTGATGTTGTCACTGGTAACTTTTCTATTCATTCTATTTCTATTAAAGCTTTATTTGATTATGGAGCCACCTATTCTTTTATTTATAGTTCTGTTGTGAAATAATAAGGACTTGTTAAACTTAATCCGATTGACTTTCCTATTAGTTTGCCTACTGGTGAAGTTGTGAGGTGCTTTAAGCTACATAAGGGATAACCATTGAGGATTAGAGAGACTGATTTTCCATTTGATCTTATAGAATTTGAGTTGGGTGACCTTGATGTCATTTTGGGAATAGATTGGTTGACCACTTATAAAGCTAAGATTGATTATGAGATACAGAAGGTTTATGTAACGAGTCCTTTTGGAGAGACTATGTCTTACAGACGTTTTGGGAAACCAAATGTTATTGGGATTATTTCTGTGATGAAGTTGTCGAAACTTGTAAGTAAGGGGTATCCTTTGTTCTTTAGTTGTGTAACTTGTAAGCAATGAGTAGTAAGGTGAATGTGGAAAATGTGCAAATTGTGAATGACTTTTTGGATGTATTTTGTGAAGAAGAAAGATGGGAGCATGAGATTGTGCATTGAATATAGGGAGTTAAAATAATATGGCAATAAAGAATAAGAACCCACTACCCAGGATCGATGATTTGTTTGATCAATTTAAGGGAGCTAGTGTGTTCTCCAAGATTGATTTACGTTCGGGGTACCATCAACTAAGAGTTGCTGATAAGGACTTTCCTAAGACTGCTTTTAGGATTAGATATGGGCACTATGAGATTTCAGTTATGTCTTTTGGGTTGACCAACACACCTGCAAACTTTATAGACTTGATGAATCGAGTATTCCATGAGTAAGTTTGTAGTTGTTTTTATTAATGATATTTTGGTATACTCGAATTTTGAGGAAAAACATGAGCCCTTTGGGAGGTCGCGGATCATATGAGAAAGAGATATCTTGAGTTATTTAATGAGGTGAGTTACGAGGGCGTAACTCTTGTTCTTTAAGGGGGGTAGAATGCGTATAATTTCGCGCTTTTTGCCCTATTTTATGTTATTTTATGGTGTTTTCATGCTTTTCATAACTATTTTATTGTCTACGTATCTAGTGAAGTCCGTAAATTGGGATGGTGATATGATATTAGTGTCAATATTATGACACAATTGGAATTCCAGCAACATAATTTTGATAATTTTCAAAAGGCTTTATGCAAAAGTTTTGCAATTTAAGGGGGTTTGTGCTAAGTTTCGGGACGAAACTTCTTTTAAGAGGGGTAGATTGTAATCCCCCGTATTTTTAAAATAATTTATAAATGGAATTTATTTCATTTATAATATATATTTGTATTTTTCCGGAATTTAATTTCAAAAGTTTCAATTTTTAATTTGGGTCGAAAATTATTTTGGTACAAATTGTTTTTACATACCATCATTCTATAATTCATGTCCAAAAAATCAAAGTCAACCTCACTTTACTTACTTAATTAGCCCATTAATTTTATGAGGCCCAATATTCATATTTACCCTACAAATCTCTCTCATATAAATACTCCATACATCCCCAAATTTTTCCCCACACAAAAAGGTTAGTATTTTCTTTTCCCTTTTAATTTTTTCTTTCCTTTCTTTTATTTTTTCTTTTTTCTTTTTCTTTCTTTTCTTTTTCTTTTTTTTCTTTTCCTTTATTTCTTACGTGAGTTTTCACTCACCTTGCTGCCCCCCCACCGACTGCCACCTACTGCCACACCACTGCCGGTCACCGGCGCCGCCCCCTGACCGCCGGCGCACCACCAGCAGCGCGGCCCACGTGGCTGCTTGCTCTCTCTTCTCTCTCTTCCCTTTGTTTTCTTTTTTTTTTTTATTCAATGTTCGTTAAATTAGTTTTGGATTTTGATTTTATAATATAAAGTTTATATTTTTAGTATCAAATTCATGTTTTTGATAGCTTAAACTTATAATTTCAGATTTTAATTATGTTACAAATTTTTAGATTTTGTGATTATAAAACCTAGGGTTTCAATTTATTGAAATTGGGATTTTAGGGTTCTTATGATCAATTAATTTGGGGCTTTTGTTCCTATTGTATTTCTATTGATTAATTAAGCATAAAAACATGTTTTTAAGGAAGTTTTAAGAACTTTTAATCTGATTTATATTGCTGGAAATTTGGTTAAGTATTAATTTATTGTTGTTGCTTGTTTTATAGGAAGTGATTATTTCTTAGGAGACTTTTAAGTGAGTAAAAGTAACACAAAGGATTGTTTACACGAGGTACGTACATGTCTCTTTCGTTGTAAGTAGTATCATGTTTAGGTACCAAAGAAAAGAACTTAGTTTCATGATTAGAGAACACTTGGATGAAATTTTTTTGGTTATACATTTAATTAATTAATATGCTTATATTTATGAGACATGTATTGGTGAATTGATTATGTTTGTATGGAATTTTGGATGCAAACATGTTGAATTATATTAGATTAATTGTTTGTATGGAATGTTGATACAAGCATAATTTTATTGGATTGGTTTGTTAACCACATTTGGATTATTAAAGGATTGGAATTGAATGGTTTAAGTGGAACGAATTTATTAATTATTCCACAAGGTTGTTATTTATTTCATTTATTAATCAAGCATGACTAGTTAGTATGTTGAGTAAAAGTGGATTAAGCCGAATTGGCTAGGTGGGTTGACTATGTTCAACGATTTGGATAATTTGGAAGTTTAATGAAATTAAAGGTCAATTTGTGATGTGATCACCAGTCCTAAATAAGATTAAAAGTAAATTGATGTATGATTTTTATGTATGGTCTATTTAATTGGGTCGGCTATTAATTAAAATTGTAATCACGTAATGTGAAACATGGATGAGCAATAAAACTCTAGAAAGCGTGCACTTCTAGAGTATTGACAATTATGGGTTGGGGTACACGGTGGTAGCCCGTGGCTTTTCGGGGCTTGTTTGATCAACATGTCCTCTTTTCTTTTGGTATTTACATTTTTATTTTATAATGAAAGTTAGATGGGATCCTAGACTAACTTTGTGAGAATGGAGTCGCGCCCATTCTTGCATTGCGCTAAACTTTTATTTTAAATGGTCATTTGGGACCAAAATGATTTTGTGGATTGGACAACCTCGTCTATTGCTGACTCCAAACTATATTAATTATATTAAATATAAAAGTCGAGTGTTTAGAATTGGTTAGAAAGTATGTTGAGTCAATTGAATTGTTTAAGTGTGGCGTCTTGATTAATGAATTCAAGTTGTATGTTTATTTACTTCAATTAGTTGAGCATGTCAGGTTTTGTGCGTTGTAGCTTGTATGTACTCAGATTTACTGATTGCGTGCTTTTGTGTGTTTTCCTTTGGTTATGGCCTTCGTCTTTCAATGACCCTTTGATGATCCAATTATTACACTTGTATTATTGGGGAGCAGTATTGCACAGGTTAGCTTGATGATGTGAAGTTCGGGGATTTGACATACGCATTGTCAAGGGATTGATGTGATTGAGAGTATTTGTTCTTTGTGTTGAACTTATTTATGTTTTACTATTTTAATTATGTTTTGGGATTTTAAATATTAGTTTGGTTTTAATAAGGGCCTTCATGTTTCCAATTTGTAAGCTTTGACTTATTGGTTTTCTAAATTATATTATTTTAAGATGTAAGTTGGATTTTCGCTGCAATACTTTGATAAAGCCTTAAAGTTTTAACACGTGGCGGTAACATGCCAATGGTTCTCCTCTATTTTTATTTAAAGTAAGTGGTTTGGAAATGGGAGAATTATTGGAGTGTTACAATTATTGTCATATGCATAAAAAAAAACTCATTGGAAAGACCATCCGTAATGAGTTAAAAACATAGGATTTTTACATGTAGGAAATTTGAGAAATATCTTTCACCACTAGGATCGAAATAATGCAGCGAAAAACTAGAAAATTTTATCAAACACAGAAAGTTTCCGAGGCATGTAGGAACTGGCGTCTAGAAAACAGAGCATGTTGCCAATGATATGGCTCTATCTCTAGGCAACAGATCTATATTGCGGCGACGAACTCTATTGTCTGGCGCTACATTCTTCCAATACCGAGCCAGAATTATGAGGTCTAATTTTGACCAGTTCTAGCACTGTTTGTTCGATTCTACTTCCTGATTGAGTTTTTCTCACTTTTTTAAAACCCATATGTGTTCTACATATGGACATAACCCTCTGCAAATTCATACTCCATCTACCTGCTTGAACGCTCTGTGCAACAAAGGGTACATCCGAGAATGTTGGATTCACCAAACCATGGAAGCAAGTTTTTTAACTCGCGGGGTCCCATCCACTCGCGCCAACCCTCCAAAAGGTAAGGCTTCCGCACGGTGCATCCGGACTCATAACCATGGACCCTTTTTGACTAACCCATATCCCGAACATAAGAGAACTAGAGCCATGGTTAGGTTGTAAACTCATTGCATCATATTGTGCCTACTAGCCTAATTGTGCATTATTTGTTATGCATACACTATGTGTTTTTCCTAACCGTTTGTTTGACTTGTGTTTAACCCTAAATAAACTAATTAATGATTAAAAGGACTTTATCTAATTAATGAATTTGAATAATTAAAGTTTAATAATTTTATCAGAATTGACCTAGTATGACTTTAGGCATGTCCCGTACAGTTAAAATACTGAAAGCAGTCCCAGATTAATGCTCCAGTAATGGCGCCACAATTTGGGCTGCAGTGCCACACTCTGCTTTGCAATGCATGGCGACAACTTTGTCGCCTGGCGCTGCATTGCAGTGTGCGGCGACAGTCCTGTTGCTTTGGCGACAGTTAAGCATTTTACTCGAGTCATCACGACGAGTCTATTTAAACGATTTGCTAATCAATTCGATCATTTTATTAATAACAATACCTTTGTTAAGTCTTTAATTGAGTCTAGTCACATAGTCTAGCCACATGGTCTTACACAAGAGTCTTAACATGTCACATACACTCACTAGTC